CCCCCCCCCCCACTGCTGCTGCTCTTGGGCTAATCAGGGTGGTGGGGAGGTGATCTGGGGGTAGAGCAGATAATTAGGGAATGGGGAGGGGGCACCCAGGGGCCAATAGGAATCATCCAGGGGTGATTCAGGGAGGTGGAGGGGATGCCAGCCTACCAGTTCTCCTCCCATCTTCCTGCCCTCTCCATCCTGCAATCCTGCCCCCTCCCACCTTCCTCATGCCCCCTCTCCACTCATCCCCCCTGCCCTCTTCACCCCTTTCCCCCTCTATCCCTATTTACCACCTGCTTTCCAGGTGTCACCCAGAACAGTAGCGGTCTGGATGATAGCTAGTCCACCTAGGAGTAGTGCCTCCTGGGATATAGGACAACTGCATATTGGTAGTTTTATCTCAGTTGAACAGCTAGAAGTTAATTTAACTCAAGCTAGGTAGCACAGCTCAAAAAAAAACTATTATTGCCCACAGTGGCATAACTTTAAGATGCCTAGCACATGTTTATGAGCTTTAATATGCAATCATTCAAGTTTAAAATGTTTTAACACTGTCTAATTGTAACGTGTAATCTCGCTTAATGCTTTGAAGCATACAGACTGAACATACTACCGTGATGTCACCTCCTCCTCTCATGACCCCGTTGTTCATCAAGTTGCTTCCCAGAATGCCTCAGGTTAGTATGTCAGAAGGAAAAGTGCAGAATAGAACAGAATGGAATAGAATCCCTTCACTTCAAACAAAAATAACCCACCCATTTTCCTCTGATGAAACCTTCAGCAAAGGTGTCTTCTCTGTAAAGCAATTGTCTTTTGATCTCATGTTGAATAACTTGGGCAAATTGAAGTGGTACCTTAAAAAATGGGGGAAACACAAAGTGGCTGATTATCAATAATCACTAGCACCTAAGGTTCTACATAAAATGTTGTTTGATAAAAAGCACATTTAGCTAATTAAATGCTAACTCAACAAATGAGAGATGGCCTGGAGCTGCTTATCAGAAACTGCAGGCAAAATTCTATCCATTCTTCAAATAGGATCTCACATCAGTTTCCCCCCAAATTCTTCCATATACAGAACACAGAAGTTATACAATGCAAATTAATATCAAAGAGAACTATAGATCGAGGAATGGATATTTATTAAAAATTTAGGATGGTCTTCTAAGTTTGTGGCCATACCAAAGTGCTGCTGGGTCAAAGGAAATACTTTGAAGTGGTTTCCTCCCCTTTTATCCAAGGTACTAACCATTTAAATGTTGCAAATCCTTTGGACTTCCTTTGATTTATCCTTACCCATAGATGTTCAGGTAGTATCAATGGTGATACAGGCCTTTTTGGCCTGGGCTAGCTACCACCCCTCAAGCTGGAAACTGATATTTTGGCTCCCACCCCCCAGCTGGAAACGCTGCCAAGCAAGAGAGTCTGGCCATGGAAATACATTCTTATACTTCAAGGCTAGATAACACTAACCTACTGTACCTGGAGCCAAGAATAGAAAATGCAGAGACTCTAACATGGGCAAAATGAATCAATCTACTTCCTCATTGGTTTGGATCACTACAGCTGCGACATCCCTGGGCTATGATCCTTCCATGAGTTCCCAATCTATTTCCGCTGCTAGCAAAAAAAAATAGTTGGCCATGGTGTCCCAAACTTTTAATAAGCTAATGGCCTGTTGCTTCAAGAACTGTATCTTCATCCCTGGCTGCCAAGAAAGTATCAGTAAGATGAGACTGAAGTAAAAGCACATTAAGGACTGAGCAGGTGTGGCATGCTCAGGAGAAGTCCAGCTACACGAGTGGAAAAAAGATCTGAAATCTGAGAAGTGGGGAAACAAAAATAACTGATGGCTACATAAATATAAATGGGCGTCTGTAGGCAAAATAAAAATTTGTCTCAAGAAATTAGTAAGTGATCTCTATAGGGAGATTGAATTAAACCTAGATTCATTGGGAACAGGAGTTACAGAGAACACTTAAATATAGTACAACCTTATTGTAATGAACTCCCCAGGATCCAGAGAAAAGTTAATTAAAAGGGGATGTTTACTGGAATAGCATCATTCACTTTGCTGCTGCAAAATAATGGGGGGGGGGGG